AGCACTCTGGCTGCTCTTCTTCCAAAATGGATCTATTGGTTCTTTTGACAGCCCATGGCACTTTCAATATTCTCCTCTAACACCGTAACTCAAAAGTATCAATTCTTCTATGGTCTTCCTTATTCACTGTCCAGCTTTTGCATGCATATGACGTTATTGAAAATACCATGGCTTGGGTCAAGAACACCTTAGTCCTCAAGCTGACATCTTTGCTCTTCAACACTTTAAAAAGGTCTTGTGCAACAGATTTGCCTAATGCAATACGTCGTTTGATCTCTTAACTGCTACTTCTGTGTTGATAGTTGATCCAAGAAGAATGAAGTCCTTGACAACTTCAATCGTTTCTCCATTGATAAGAATGTTATTTATTGGTCCAGTGGTAAGGATTTTTGTTTTCTTGACATTGAGATGTAATCCATACCGAAGGCTGTGCTCTTTGATCTTCGTCAGTAAATGTTTCAAGTCCTCTTCACTTTCAGCAAGCAAGGTTGTATCATCTGCATATTGCAGGTTGATAAGGAGTTTTCCTCCAATCCTGATGCCACGTTTTTCCTCATGTAACCCAGCTTCTCGAATTATTTGCTCAGCATACAGTTTGAATAAGTATAGTTAAAGAATACAACCTTTTTGCACACCTTTCTTAATTTTAAACCATTCAGTGTTCCCATGTTCTGTTAGAACAATGCCTCTTGGTTCAGGTACAGATTCTTCATGAGTACAATTAAGTGTTCCAGAATACTGATACTTCGCAATGTTGTCCATAGCTTGTCATGATCCACACAATCGAAAGCCTTTGCATAGTCAATAAAGCACAGGTAAACATCTTTCTGACATTCTCTGCTTTCAGCCAAGATCCATCAGACATCAGCAATGATATTCCTCATTCCATGTGTTCTTCTCAATCCGGTTTGAACCTCTGGAAGTTCTCTGTCAATGTATGATTGTAGCCATTTTTGTATTACCTTTAGCAAAACTTTACTCCCATGTGTTATCAAATATTGTCCGATAATTTCTGCATTCTGTTGGGTCACCTCTCTTTGGAATGGGCACAAATATGGATCTCTTCTAATCAGTCGGCCAGATAGTTGTCTTCCAAATTTCTTGGCAGAGATGAGTGAGTGTCTCCTGTGTTGCCTCACTTTCTTGAAAGACTTCAATTTTTATTTCATCAAATCCTGGTGCCTTGTTCTTTGCCAATTCCTTCAATGCGCCTTGGACTTCTTCCGTCAGTATCATTGGCTCTTGATTATATGCTACCTCTTGAAATGGTTGAACATTAAGCATTTCCTTTTGGTACAGTGACTATGTTTATTCCTTCCATCTTCTCTTGATGCTTTCTGCATCATTCAATAATTTGCCCAGTGAGTCTTTCAATAATGAAAGTTGAGGCTTGAATTTCTTCTTCAGTTCCCTCAGCTTGAGAAATGCTGAGTATGTTCTTCCTTTTTGGTTTTCTGATTCCAGATCTTTGCACATTTTGTTGTAATATTTGGCTTTATCTTCTTGAGCTGGTCTTTGAAATTTTCTGTTCAGCTCTTGGACATCCTCAGTTCTTTTATTTGTTTTAGCATCTCTAGTCTGGAGAGCAAGTTTCAGTGTCTCTTCTGACATCCATTTTGAACTTTTCCTTCTTTCTTGTCTTCTTAATGACTTTTTGCTTTCTTCATGCGTGATGTTCTTGATGTCATCCCACAACTCTTCTAGTCTTTAGTGTTTCATGTATCAAATATGTTCTTCAGATGATCCCTAAATTCAGATGGGATATATATGCTACCAGAGGTCCACGGTTAGAGGTATGGAATTGTCTTGTGATTGCTGGCATCTTGTATATGTCAATCAATCAGAATTTTTTCCTAAATTCCTGAATTTTCTATACTTAAAACTGGTGTGGTGCTGTGGGCTTATGGGTCACACTGCAAAGTCATTTGAACTGCAAAGTTGGTGGTTCAAGTTCACCAGCTGCTCCTTGGAAACACTATACAGGGTCACCAGGGGTTGGAATGACTACAAACCCTTGCTGGAGATCTCATTGCCCCTGAATTGCTTGATTGGAATCACTTTTATTTCTTTAGTAAAACTCATATAATAATGAGTCACAATAGACTTTTAACAGAGCCTCCAGTTTCGTCTTTGTACACTAAAACTAGCCCTTAATATAAGCGCATTTGTCTGGTGGAGCTGACGCAGATTTGACAGCACTCACTGCCACTGCTGAAAAGCGCTGCGCAACAAAAACCACTCCACACATGCGCTCTCCAGGCCCGCCGCAGGAGCAGCGAATCAGGTTGCCGCACTTAAGCCTGGGGCGGGACTTCCTTTCGCTGTGCACGCGCCTGAGTGGTGGCCCCGCCCCGGAACCAGGCTTGAAGCTGCTGCAGATGGTACGACGCGCGTGTGTCTGAGGCTATGGCTGGAACGTCTGAGGAATCTTCGGCGGCGTCTCCACACGGTGAATACCCGGGCTGGAGCAGGTTTCGGCCGACGCCTGAGAGGAGTTGCGGGCGGGGTCTGGGATCTCTCCGAACCGCTGAGTTCCCGCGATCGGGAGAGGGCGGTCGCCCAGTCAAGCTGCCAGGCTTCCCCGCGCCCAGGGCCCGGTCCTCGGGCATCTAGACTCGTCAGCTTCGGCTTCTCGACCTCGGGCACTCGTTGGTACCTGAGACGAGGCGAGAGGCTGCCGGGCCACGGAGTCGGTCGCAGGTTGGCCTGCGAGGAGTAGGGACCCCCGACGTGGTTTGCTCTCTGTGACCTCACTCCGTATGAGGGGCGTTTCCCCTCTTCTCGTCGTCGGGCACGGGGTTCTGTGAACGCGATGGAGCTTGTGCGGTGGGCCAGCCTTGCAGCTCGTGCTTGCTTGCTCAGCGGGTTCTGACCTGCTGCCCAGTGAGACCCATCCCGCATCTCCCCCGTGTCCTGTGCAGACTGGGAAACTGAGGCTCAGAGACGAGACCGCCCCCCTGACAGCAGCAGGCCCAGAGCCGACGGGCGGGGCGGGGGGGGGGCGCGCATTGAGCGACCGAGGTTGGTCTCCGTCTTTCTCGAAAGAATCTGGATCGTGTCTTGCCCTGACGACAGCGTGGTTGAATGGACATTAAAATCGCTTCAAATGCACAGAAAAAGGGGAAAAAAGCGCGCTGAGCTTTAAGCCTTGGGCAAAGGACGGAATGGTGGGATTAGCAATGGTGGGATTAGCGTTAATTTGAGGAAGAAGGAACCACCGGTGGTGCACTTTTGGTGTTCCTTTTCGTCACAGGAACCACCAAAGCTTGCCCTTTAACCTCCTCTCCCCTCAAAGAAAACCTCCTTGACGTCACCCCCCTAACCCCCCCAAAACAGAAAAAGCCCACGTTTTTATTTTGCTTTCAAAAGGGCTAAGGTGCTGCCAGCTCACTGCCAGGCTACCTTGGAGTATTTGATTTCCTTGTCTAAAATGTACGCTTAGTGATGTATGGATGCTTAGCCCCTGCCCTTTAAAGGTGAGCGCAGGAGAAGTAAGCAGTGCAGGTCCAAGATCCCACAGCAGCTAAGGGTTCCATCTGGGATCTAAGCTGGGTTTCCGTTAGCCGCCATTGTTCTGTTTTGTGTCTGCTTGGGTCCAGGCAAAGCTGTTTCTTCAGTGGCTGTATTTTTTTCATTTAAAAAACTTTTTTTTATTGCATTCTAGGTGAAAGCTTATACAGCAAATGGTTCTTAAGTGCCCTCCAGTTGGTTCCGACTCTAAGCGGCCCTGGGTAGCGTTTCCGAAGCTTTAAATCTTCAAGGGAACAGAAAACATCTTTCTCCTGCGGAGTGGCTGGCAGCCTCGGATCACGGACTTTGTGGTTCGCAGTCCAGTGCCATTTATACAATTTTTATATAATTAGTTCCCTGTCATTAGTTACGATTTTCATAGTGTGTCAGTCCTCTCATGATTTCCATTCTGTTTGCTCTGTTTCCAGTGATCTAGTTTCCCTATCCCTCCCTCCTTGCTATCTCCTTTTTGCTTTTGACTAAGTGTTGGCCATTTGGCCTCATCAATTTGATTCCTTAAGAGAGTGCATTACGTATGGATGCTACTGTTTATTTAATAAGCCAGTCTAATCCCTGGCTGAAAGGTGGCCTACAGGAGTAGTATCATTTCCAACGCATAGGGTATCTTAGGGTGTTTGGCTTGGGAGTTCTTCTAGTCTGGACTTTCCTTAGTAATTTGAATTTTAGTCTACATTTTGTTCCCATTCGATCTCGACCGTCTATTGTGTCCCTGGGTAGAAGCACCATCTAGTTCTAGTCTCTGCCTAGAAAAGGCACTGGTTTGTATGGGCTGTAGCCTGAGAACTACTTTCTCCTTTCACTGTTTGGTTTCCTTCATTCTCTTGCACTCCAGATAAGTAGAGACCAGTAGTTGTCTCTTAGATGGCCACTCACAAGCTTTTAAGGCCCTGGATGCCACTCATCAAACCAGGGTATGGAATGTTCTCTTTATTGACTGTGCTGTACCAGTTGACTGAGTTATCCCATGAGACTGTAGGGTCTTGAGGCTCCAAACCCAGTAAGGCAATCTCAGGAGGTATTTAGCTATGTCTAGAAAGTCTCTCTAAGTGTGCTCTAGTAGATACATGAACGTATGCAGCACATGGAGTCCTGGGGTGGTAACTGTAGGATAAGCACTGTACAGCAAGGTCAAGTTGAACCATTGGGTCGGCAATTCAAACTCACCAGCTGCTCCTCGGAAACCTTATACAGGGTTGCTATGAGTCAGAACCGACTTGATGGCCTGTAACAACAATATGTAGCACATACAAACATTTGTATATATGCCTATACTTAAACATGCATAGAGCATGCCTTCCCAAACACATAAATGCATTTGTGGGGTTTTTTCGTCCCCTCTTTGGTTTTCTCCAGTAGGAATATCAGTGTTAGAGCCATCTTTTGCCCTGAGTTGTGTCCTCCGTGGCCTCAGAACCGTATACTCCTCAGTTACCGACCTAATACAATGTATCTTTTCATTTCCAGCACCCATGAAGTTGAAGGAGACAAAATCAAGGCTGAAGCCACCAAGCTGTGGCAAATTGAAGACAAAGGGAATCAAAGTTGTGGGAAAATGGAAACAAGTGAAGATAGACCCAAACGTGTTTGCAGATGGACAAATGGATGACTTAGTGTGCTTTGAGGAACTGACAGATTACCGCTTGGTCTCCCCTGCCAAGAATCCCTCTAGCCTCTTCTCAAAGGGAGAACCCAAGAAGAGAAAGGCACAAGCTGTTTCAGAAGGAGAGGAGCAAGGAGAGTCCAGCTCCCCAAAGAAAAAGATTAGGTTGAAAAAGAGTAAAAATGTGGAAGCTGGAGGTACCAGTGCCCAGAAAGAGTTTGAGGTCAAAGATGCTGAACTAGGGCCTCAGGAAAGCAGCTCTCATTGTCCTGAGCTAGAGGTAGAGGAGACGGCATCCCACACTGTTACAAAAAAGAAAAAGAAGAAAGGGAAAAAAAAGAACAAGCCTTCCCAGGGTACTACTCCAAAGGTGCCCAAGAAGGTGAAGACATGGATGCCCGAAATGAATGACCAGAAGGCTGACGTGTCTGCCTGGAAAGGCCTGTTTGTGCCCAAGCCGGTACTCCGAGCACTCAGCTTTCTAGGCTTTTCTGCGCCCACACCAATCCAAGCCCTGGCCTTGGCACCTGCCATCCGTGACAGACTGGATGTTCTCGGGGCTGCTGAGACAGGTAAGTGCTTCCCTGTCGAGCCAGGGTAGAACGGCCTGCCTTTAGGAAATGTTGGGATCATAACCACAAAGCAGAGTTGAATGAGGGCGGATAGAAATCCTCCAAGTCTGGGTGCAATCTGCTAGTTGCTGATGGGTACCCAGGGCAAGCCACTCACTAGCTCTCTGAGATTCAGGCCTGACAGTCAAATGGAGACAACAGCACTACCTACTTCTCAAGTGGGGAGCCTGGGGACTCTTGTGAGATAAGCACTGGACTGTGAGCCACAAGGCCAGTCATTCAAGCCCACCAACCGCTCAAGAGAAAGATGACCCTTTTGGTGGGCAAAGATCTATAGCCTTGGAAACCCTATACAGCATCGCTATAGTTGGAACCTGTTCTCAATGGCACTTACAGCAACAACTGCATGAGTGGTTGTAAGGGTTAACTGAACCTATACTCAATGGCACATAACAGCAACAACTGCACGGGTGGCTGTAAGGGTTAACTGAACCTATACTCAATGGCACATAACAGCAACAACTGCACGGGTGGCTGTAAGGGTTAACTGCTGCAGTAAATTTAAGTGTCCACAGTGCTGGGTACATGGGAGGTGATCTGTAAAGGGTTTTTCCTTTTCTTGAGTCTGTTGTGAATGTCCTCAAGGAGGAATGGAGGGCCAAGATCAGCTCTCTGGCGAGGTAGCTCTTTATCAGTTGAGGGAAGAACTGTCTCAGTCTCAAGAGTTGCCCATAGATAAAAAGGGCTGCTTTGGGAGTTTGTAAGTTTCTTGTTTGTCCTTGAAAGTATTTGAGTGTGCAGTGGGGACCCATTGGGTGGCTTTTGTAGGCAAGTTCAGGCGTGAGGTAGGTGTTAGGAATGGGCACTTTTTAAGACCCTCATTGCCTGTGCTGACTGTGACTTTGTGGCACGTTGCCTGACGAGGGAGTGACTGATGTGGGGGCTTGTAGTGCCTGGAACTACTCCCCCAGATAGACCAGCATTAGTCAATAGAAATATAATTTGAACTATATATGTAATTTTAAACTTCCTAGGAACCACATTGTTTGTTGTTGTTAAGTGTCATTGAGTCAGTTCTGACTCAGCGACCCTGTATAGGGTTTCTGAGGCTTTTTAAATCTTTTAGGGAGCAGAAGAAAGCCTTATCTTTCTCCCACAGAGTGACTGGTGGGCTCAAACAGCTGACCAGGTGGTTCATAATCCAGTGCTTAATTGTAAACAAGTATAAGCAAGCAGGTGAAAAATAATTTTTGCAATGTGTTTATTTTGCCAGTTATATAAAAATGTTCAGTTTAATATGTAATTGATACAAAATTGCTGAGATAGCTTACATTCTTTTTTTTGTTGTTTTCAAATCTGACATTTATTTTAAATTCACAGCACATCTCAATTTAGAGTAAATGTTTTAGTAGTGCTCAATAGCCACACTTGACTTCTAGGTACTGTATTGTACAGTGTAGGGTTAGGCCTTGCAGACACTGAGCCTGGGGCTTCTGAAAGGGTGATCAGAGTCACATAGATGGAGCGTGAGGACAGCTCAGGAGGGGAGTAGAGCAGTACCTTACACATCTGAGCACCTAACATTTGCCTTGCAGTCCTGGTGTGGCGCTATGGTATAAAGCACTAGATTGCAAGGTCGGTTTGAACCACAAGGTTGGCGGTTCAAACTCATCATCCGATTGTTACATACCCTATTTAGGGTTGCTGTGAGTCTGAACCGATTCTAAGGCACTTAGCAACAACATCTGTCTTGCACTGCTGAAGTGCTTAGTGAGCGCAAGCCTCACAGCTTCCCTGAGGGAAGGACCAGTTGCTGTTGACTCAGTTCCAGTTTAGGGTCTTAGTGTGATAAGCGCTGGACTGGAAGGTCGGTTTGAGCCTCAAGGCTGAGGGTTCAAATACATCAGCCATTCCTTGGAAACCCTATACAACCCTTGCTCTGAGTTGGAACCGACTCAGCAGCACTTAACAACAACAACAAAGTACCATTATTGTTCCATCTTAAAGATGAAGAAACTTGGCCTTACAGAATGGACAACTTGCCTGAAATCTCATGGTTAGAAATGGGAAGTGCCTAGATTCTAGACCAGGTCTGTGTGCCAGACTGCTTTGATACAGGCATTGACCTGGAAGGAGGTCTCTGGCAAGCAGAGGCAATGTCTGGGAGCCACTGTGGCTGGAACTTGGCATTTGGATTCACACTCAACTCCTAGGTGACCTGTCCCCGTGCAACGCTGTGATTCTACAGGTGTAAGATTTGAGACTGTGGGCAAACTGCTGCCCATATAGAAAATGAATATAAGGCGGTTTCAAAAATTAATGGAAAAAATTCCACTATCTTTTAATGCCATTTTTCTACATTACCAAGTGGACACCTTGGCAATTTCTCCCTCCTTGTCATCCCCAGGCAACCACTGTTAAGCTTTCGATCATTATAGATTGGTTTGTGTTTTCTAAAATTTTATATAATTTATATTGATTCCTGTAATAAATATTTATGTGGTGGGGGGCAGAGATTTTGGGTGGGTCTGGCACTAAGATTCATCCATGTTACTCTTAGGAGCAGTAGTTAATTTCTTTTCATTGATGAGTAGTAGGATAAGCTATTAGGTCAAATCGACTAGTCGCTCCCTGGAAATGATCAACAATGATCCTATGTAATGATCAACAACACCAAATAAAAATGTTAGGGATTTTTATATTCTCATTTTATGTACTGCCACTTAAGGTAGTTCTAATAGGTTTTTTGTTTTTTTTTTAATGCACGGCTCAGTTTTAATTTCTAATATATGAAATATCAACAGCTATAACCCACATAAACAAAACCTGTCAGGAGTTTTTAAGAGGGCCAAGGGTTTTGAGACCAAGCAGTTGAGCACCACTGTTCTAAATAACAAAGTCTTATACAACAAAGTCTTATACCTTCTTGGAACTCTGTCATCAAGGAAGTAGGAGAGCTGAGGCAGGCTGACGTCGGAGGCAACTTCAGGCTCTTGGCCAAATGGTGGTTCATCTCCTTCTGGTCTTTCCAGGCCAGTGGTGTGGGGCTGAGCTACATACTGGAGAATGACCTCATGTAATCAAACAGATGCCCCACCCCACTCCAGAATCGGTGGTCTTGTTAGGCTGGGCTGTCCCTGGGACACCTTGATTTTTAAAATCCCAAGTGCTTCTTCTTTTTTTAATGTTTTATTGTGAATTATGTGATAGTTTACTTGGGAGAACATTAGCTTTACATTCATCCTATCTTATATAGTTTCATTACCATGGTTACAGTCCCCTCCATGCATCATCAACCAACCAAAGGGTATACCCTGCATGCCTGCCCCCCGGTTGTTAGCACACAGCCCCTCTCCCTCTCTGGGTCTAAAGCCCCCAGCCGTTCCATCTTTCCACGTCATCATCTCTGCCTCCATCTCTGGCATCACTGCTTCCCTGGGTAGGGTCCCACACTCCGCTTTTCTCCCTTGATGGTCCGAGGGACCTCCGCTCCTAGACTGCAAAGTCAGTCACTCCCCTCCTTTTGCTACAATACGTCTACCTTTACATTTCCAACCCTCACAATCAGTCCTGATAACAATTAATCACTGTTGTATCACAAGAGACCTATCCACATTTCCTTTCATCAGCCCCGCCTGGACAGATTGGATACTACTCAGTGGAGAGTCTACCTTCCTTCACACTCTCTGCATCTAGGCTTCCTCTTGAAAGCTTGTAAGCCAGTCATTTCTTGAGTTCTAATAGTTTTTTGAAGGTTCTGGCAAAGAGTAAAACAGGCTGTACTTTGGAAGCAAATGAAAAGGAGTTTCATTCAGGGTGAAAATATAGTCCATACTAGGAAAAACAGAAGGAGCTCTGGTAGTGTAGTGGTTACAAATCGGGCTGCGAACCGCAA